TTCCAACAAAAAGCCACAAGTAATTAATATAAAACCCTAGAGTAAATTTTTGACTAAGCTTAAATGTCTTCACAAAATATATCCTCTCATAGAACATCAGCACATTTATTTGTTGAAGATGAAGTTGTATTTTAATATAACAAAACTGCTGAGGATCTTCTTTTACAAGGTTTTCTCATAAAGGCCAGCAAGTATTTCCTTCGGACGACATGAAAGAGAGGAAAATTCTTCGCATACAACGATAAAAAACCTTCTTGAATGCGACGACGAAGTGCTCTAACAGAAGACTTGTTAGTCGTCTTATAGAAGACTATGAAATTTTGGTTCAGATCATAATTTTGAAATATGCAGAGATCTTATTTAATCTTTATTTTAAAGGAATAAAAGGAAATTTTTCCAAGACAAGGTCTTCCGGAAGAAGTCGTCCTTGGAAGACTCCTTTTATAAAATAATAATCATTTCAGAATTTATAGAAGAGTGGAAGGTCCTCTTATAAAAGAGTGGAAGGTCTTCTTATAGAAAAGTGGAAGGCCTTCTTATAGAAGTGTCGGAACTCTTCCCACAGAAGAGTGCGAGCTCTTCTCGTAAAAGAGTACCAGCTCTTCTCGTAAAGGAGTACGAGCTCTTAGAAGAGTGCTCATTGAAAAGTACGAATTCGAAGAGGCTTCTCATAAAAGGGCCGGAGTCTCGGCTCATTGATATGTAGATGCTCTTTTCTTGCAAGAGTAGAAACTATCCTCATAGAACAGTAGAATCTCTCTTGCAAATGAGTAAAGGTTTTCAGACGGACGGATATCGCAAAATCGACATAGACTTTTATGCAGATCAAAAATATATATATTTTGTGGTTTCCAAAATTCATATTTCGATGTGTTACAAACTGAATGACAAATTTAATATAACTTAATATAAGTTGTATTATGGTTGACTTAAAAGTCCTCTACCTCCAGAGGAAAATCATGTCCTATTGTAGATTATCTGAAAGTTTTCCGAAAGGTAATTAGAAGATTATTCCTATAGAAATCCAATGATTCTCTCAGAAATCCAAAAGTCTGCCAGACTATGCTAAAGCATCTTTAAGGGAAGTCCAAAAAGTGAGCATATTCTGAATAAAAAGCAGCAGAGCAATAGATATGCCTAAACTTCCTATTAAATACGAAAAACCTTACCCATTGAATATAAAGGGACACTAGTTTTCAAGAAGACTTAAACGTCTTACAATGAAAGACCAAAAGTTGGCCCAAAGAAGATCAAAGATCTTCTTATTTTACAAAAAAAAAAAAAAAAAAATAAGAAAAGTCCTTCTTAAGGAAGACCAACCATGCCAATGTAGAATATGAAAGAGTCCTGTTCATAGAAGTTAAAAGATCTTGCCATAAATTTCCGAAGATTTCTCCAGAAGACCAAACGACTTCCATTAGAACATAAACATCTAATATGGGTCTCTGTAAAAACATACCATCGCAATCTTCAAAAGCGAAATCCCATTGCCGTATGAAACAGAATAACCTAACTCAACATTTAAATTTTTGTCGACATCTTTCTCATTTGATTTGGGTTAAAAGAACAGCGACTCATACATTTTTTGTGGTTGAAACATTGAAAGAAATATGGTTTCATTCCCTCCAACTCCAATTGATAAAGCCTTTAGAAAATTCAAAAAGACAACAAAGAAACATCAGAAGCCGTAAACGGAAATTTGCGTTGAAATCTTTAAGGTACATTAATCAAATGTTTCCCGAGTTTTTCGTGTCTTTTTTGTGTGGCGGAAAATTTCCGAAAGTGATGAGCTGGTAAGAATATGTACGTATGTGTTTAGGTGTAGCACACAGAAACCGCAACAGTTTTATGTATGCCACATGTGTGTATGTGCGTGTCTTTTTGAAATATTTTAGCAAGATTGTTGAAAATTTCATTCTGTCACTTTGCTCTCAAACCACGCCCCAACCTCACGGACCCAAAAGACTCACACAATTCACATTGTATTAGCATAAACTTATACAGTCACTTACGTTTCGTTGTGCATACGTTAAGCTAACACTTTCGTGCGACGTATTTTGAAAAAGACTGACATTTACACATACAGCCATACTTCCTCACACAGAACGCCTATCAGCAATCCAATTCAAGCCTCACCACCTTTCAGAGAATCTCTGTTGAACTGGTTAACGACGTTCACTTGAATGTCAAACCGCAACAATTTAGTTTTGAATTTCTTCAGCTGATGATTGTTGCGAGGGGGAAGCTTTGCCCCAGAGCGATGCTGCTGCTGGGAAATTTATGTGAGTGTGCACATTTGTGTATAAATTTGGTGGTTAACAGTGTGGGAAATTGGGAAAAATTCAAAATCAACCAGTAAAGAAGGTCTTAAAGTCGGGCGGGGCCGACTTTATGATACCCTACACCACTTTGCTAATTTAGTAGAGCTCCGCAAAACAATTAAAAATTTTTATGAGAGAATTCACTCATACACGCTATGATTATAATTATAATTTAAAGTTCAAAGGACTAAATATGCCGAAGCATTTGTATCTTTTAAATTCGGACTTGTATTGCCCATGAAATCGGATAAAGATATATATGGGAGCTATATCCAAATCGGAACCGTTCTCGATAAAATTTGGCAAAGATATTTCTGAGCTGTATTTGATATATTTCCCTGAATAACGTTGTTACGAAGTGCATATTATGGCTGTGGGTAACAAATATAACAAATCGGATGAACAGTATATATGGGAGCTATAGCTATATCTGAACCGATCTTCACCAAATTTGACATACTAGCTTCTACTTTCAATTCGGTCGTAAGTGCCAAATTCCATCCCATTTGGACAAATATCAGACGTTTCGTGCATAATAAAAGGTAAATCGGACGAAGTTATATATGGGAGCTATATCCAAATCTGAACCGATCTCGATAAAATTAAGCAAATGTATTTCTGAGCTGTATCTAATATATTTCCCCAAAATTTTGTTGTTACAGAGTGCATATTACGGCTGCGGGGGGACAAAAATAACAAATCGGATGAACAATATGTATGGGAGCTATAGCTATATCTGAACCGATTTCGATCAAATTTGGCATACTTATTTTCAGGCCTAATTTGGTTGTATGTGCAAAATTCCATACTATTCGGGCTGATATTACACGTTGGGTGCACAATGAAAGGCAAATCGGACGAAGATATATATGGGAGTTATATCTAAATTTTTACCGATTATCTCCAATTTCAATAGGGTTCGTCCTTGGGCCAAACAAATGATTTAAACAAAATTTCATCTGGATAGGGCAATAAATGCGAACTGTACTTTGTTTACAAAAATACATGGACAGACGGACAGACGGACGGACGGACATGCATAAATCGACACAGAATGTGATTCTATGCTGATCATCAAAAGGAACTATGGGTCTATCTCGTTTCCTTCTGCCTGTTACAAACAAATGCACAAAGACATAATACCCTGACCACTATGTGGTGTAGGGTATAAATATTCATGTCAGACCCAATAAAATATATATATATTCTTGATCGGCGCAAAATTCTAAGTCGATTTAACGATGTCCGTCTGTCTGTTTGTCTGTCGAACTAATTAAGATAAAAGGCTAAAATTTTGCACACATGTTTATTTTTCCAGTAGGCAGGTTTAGTTCGTAAATGGGTCATGTAGGTCCACGTTTTTATATAGCCCCCATATAACGGTACCTCCCGATATTCGGTATTTTGATGATTTTAGCGACATTATTAACCGGAATTGTTTAAGATTTGGTATATGAAGTTCGAAATGGATACTACAGCCTATGACAGAATATTGTCTATGCGGGTCCACGTCTTCGTATAGCCCCCATATAACGGTATCTCCCGATATTCGGTATTCTGATGATTTTAGCGACATTATTAACCGGAATTGTTTAAGATTTGGTATATGAAGTTCGAAATGGATACTACAGCCTATGACAGAAAATTGTCTATGCGGGTCCACGTCTTCGTATAGCCCCCATATAACGGTACCTCCCGATATTCGGTATTTTGATGATTTTAGCGACATTATTCCCCGGAATTGTTTCAACTTTGGTATTTGAAGTTCGAAATGGATACTACAGCCTATGACAGAAAATTGACTATGCAGGTCCACGTCTTCGTATAGCCCTCATATAACGGTACCTCCCAATATTCGGTATTTTTATGATTTTAGCGACATTATTAACCGGAATTGTTTAAGATTTGGTATTTGAGGTTCATAATAGATACTAAAGCCTATGACAGAAAATTGTCTATGCAGGTCCACGCCTTCGTATAGCCCCCATATAACGGTACCTCCCAATATTCGGTATTTTAATTATTGTATGGACATTTTTCACCAGAATTGTTTCAAATTTAATATTTGAAGCTCGTAACGGATACTACAGCCCACGACAGAAAATTGTCTGTGCAGGTCCACGTCTTCGTATATCCCCCATATAACGGTACCTCCCTATATTCGGTACTTTGATGATTTTAGCGACATTATTAACCGGAATTGTTTCAAATTTGGTATTTGAAGTTCATAATGGGTACTACAGCCTGTGACGGAAAATTGTCTATGCAGGTCCACGCCTTCGTATAGCCCCATTATAACGGTACCTCCCGATATTCGGTAATTTGATGATTTTAGCGACATTATTAACCGGAATTGTTTCAAATAACACATTTAGAGTTCGTAATGGGAACTACAGCCTAAGACAGAAAATTGTCTGTGCAGATCCACATCTTCGTATAGCCACCATATAACGGTACCTCCCTATATTCGGTATTTTGATGATTTTAACGTCATGATTCAACGGAATTGTTTCAAATTACGTATTTAGAGTTCATAATGGAAACTACAGCCTGTGACAGAAAATTGTCTATGGAGGTCCAGGTCCGCCATCCATCCATTCATCCATAAATAGTATGTGTGTGAGTGTGCACCTATGTATGTATTTATGTTAAAGGATAACAAAGTGACAAAATGCTTACCTGGGTGGTGGATCCGCTTGAATTTCACACGCAACTTCGACAGTTTCATCCTTTGAGGCGCCTATTAAGATGACACGATCTAAATGTTTGCAAATTGGTGTATCTGCAAAAGAAAATTAAATTAGAAATGTATGTAAATAGATGGATAATTTATGTGTGTGGATATATATTATGCATAGAAAATTTATAAATATATAACTCAGATATATATACGGAAGATTTTATTGCTCTAGTACGTTTGCGGAAAACATTTCCTTGGGTGTTCCCTTCTCTCATTATAACATCGAATGAAGTGTCTCTATATGAGTAGTAGTTATTCCCATAAACATGTATGTGCGCCGGAATTGAGGTGAGTTGGAGTTGAGTGACGACAACGGAACTAAATGAAATGTTAGCATCGTGTCTATATCTGTAGATTTAATCATTGAGACAGTTTTTAGTGTTACATATCCGTAAACGTCTATGTGAGTGCGTACCTGTGACTCTATAAACATTTAGTCTGCAATTGGTATTCACTAAATTCATATGCAAGTCTTATTGAGAAGGAAATTATTACTTTTATTAATGTGGATTCGAAAGACATTGATAGTTCTTCAAAGAAAGGAATAATAAGCCTAGCAAACTGTAATCCGACAGGGCTATCGATTCTATCCTTTCAATGTTAAGACCACACAAAGTTTGTCCGTCTGTGGAACTCACTCTAGCTTCCGGACGAAATGGAGTAGATTGAGTAAGCATTTTACTCAGGTTTATCTAAGGTTTCCAGGATTATCGGTTTTAAAATGGGCTACATAGGCGATTTTTTTGAAGATTTTCTTTAATTGCTAGTTTGTGTTCTGAGTATGCAAGAAACATCCAGGTATAGAATTATTCATAAATGTCCAAGTTTTGTACCTCCAGATATTACGTACTTTGATGATATTACGTACTTTGATGAATTTTATCACATTTCTCACTGGGGTAGGTTCAAATTTCGAATTTGAACAGAAAATCACCTATAAAGGTCCCACTCTTTTTTATAGCTCTCACATAACTGCAACTCCCTACATCCTGTATTTTTATGATTTTAGTCACACTTTTCACAAGAGTAATTTAAAAGTTGGATTTGGAGTTCGCAACGGGTATTACTTCCTTTCCTGTGCAGATCCACGCCTTCGTATAGTCCCTAGATAAAGGAACCTCCCAATATTCGGTATTTTGAGGGTTTTTACTACATATTTTTAACAGAATTATTCTAAACTTGGTATTTGGATTTCTTAATAGGCATCACCTTCCTCCTCATTTTCGTATAGCCCCATATACTATGAATATCTGATATCAGGATTTTTTAAAGTACTCGACATTTTTTAATGCTATGTTCCTCCGTGTTCCTACATTTTGTAAGTTCATTCCAAAGGGTGGAAAACATTGAAAGTGCAGTCAGGCAGAGCATAGCTTATTTTTTAATTGTTGTTTTGAAAGAAGCTCCAGAGACAAACATTGAAAATATTTATGAAACTAATAAAAGCGTGGCAAAATTTCGCCTTGGTGGACAAAGATCCGAAATAGGCAGATAGTTTTTATATCCTCCACTTTGTCATTCTATTTGCAATTTCTCCAATACTCATGATCTCCAAATACTCATGATCCAAATACTCATGATCAGCTATCAGTCGACGTAGCTATGTCCGTCTCTTCTGTGTGCCTGTTTTTGTAATCACGTTATCTTTCGAACGAATTGAAGACTAACATTTTGCACACATGTTTGCCATTTTGCCAGTATGCAGGTTAAGTTCGTAAATGGGGCATATTGGTCCACGTTTTCGTATAGCTCCCATATAACAGTGCCTCCCGATATTCGGTAGTTTGATGGTATTAGCCCTATTACTCCACGAAATTATGACAAAAAATGAATTATGCAGGTCCACGTCTTTGTATAGTCCCTATTTGGTATTAGAGACATTATAGACCAGAATTGTTCAAAATTTCATAATTTAAGTTCATAATGGTCTAGCCTATAGCCTATGACAAAAAATTTGGTATGTAGGTACATGTTTTCGTATTACCACCATATAATGATATAGGGAGCTATATTCGGTATTTTGATGATTGTTCACAGGAATTCTTTCAAATTTCGTATATGAAGTTCGTAATGCGTACTTCAACATGTGGCAGTAAATTGTCTATACAGGTACAACCTTCATATATCCCTCATATTTATAGCGGTACCTGCCAACATTCGGCATTTTGATGATTTTAGCGACATTATTCACTGGAATTGTTTCAAATTTCGTATTTGAAGTTAATAACGGGTACTATAGCATATGGTAGGCATTTTCCATATCTTTATATGACCCTCTTATAACGGTACCCTCGGTATTTAGATGACTTTGCGACACTAATCACCGAGATTTTTTTAAAATTCATACTTGAATATTGCAACGGCCCACAATAAAGCTAAAACCCCATATTCGGGTTTTTTTGATCTTAAAAGTATTTTTCAATGTACTTTTTATACCCTACACCACATAGTGGTAAGGGTATTATGTCTTTGTGCATTTGTTTGTAACATGGAGAAGGAAACGATATAGACCCATAGTTACTTTTGAGAACCTTCATAGAATCACTTTCTGAGTCGATTTATGCATGTCAGTCCGTCCGTCCGTCCGTCTGTCCATGTATTCTTGTGAACAAAATGCAGGTCGCATTTATTATCCGATTGAGATGAAATTTTCCAAACAATATTTTTTTGGTTCAATACAAGATGCTACAATGCTAGAAAAACTTCCATGAAGAAACTTAACAGATTCCGGAAAGACTCTACAATAGAGAACAAACGCAAATACCTAGAAAGTAATCGTATATATAAAGATGCATGCCGATTGGCTAAACTGCAATATTTCAGCAGTTTAGAAAGAAAACTTGATAATGTCAAAGATAGCAAAGATTGGTGGAAAATAGCTAAGGAAATCCGAAATGATACAAATAATCAAAGAGGAATATCCGTCGAACCAAACGACTTCAAACGGCATTTTGAAAAATTGCTCAACCCACCGCAAACATCACCAGATATCCAGTACGCTCCAAACTTTTTCATAGATGATGATTTGGACAAGCCTATTTCAATGACAGAGCTAAAGAACGTCTTAAGAAAATGTAAAGTAAATAAAGCTCCAGGAGAAGATCGTATTCCATACGAGTTCTACAAAAATGCTCCAGAACAATTGCTACAGGAAATCGTAAATTCATGCAACAAAGTTTTCAACTCTGGAAACGTTGACTCGACATTTTCTACCAGCATAATCTACCCTATATTTAAAAAGGGAGACACTACACAAGCTCAGAACTATCGAGGGATCTCTTTTATGAACTGCTTGCCAAAAATTATGATGGGAATTATTACGGAAAGGTTGTACAATTGGGCGGAAAAACACAAAAAGATCAATGAATATCAGTCCGGTTTTAGAAAATACTACTCGACGAATGATAATATATTCAGTCTCACTTCGATGGTCCATATCAACTGGCATGAAGATAAGAAAACATATGCGTTCTTCGTAGATTTTAAAGCGGCATTCGACAATGTTTGCAGAAAATCTATGCTATATAAATTAAATACCCTTGGTGTGTCAACAAAGGTAATAAGATTTATAGAAAATGTATATAATGATACAAACTTTATGGTATGGACAGGACATGATCTCTCCGATAAATTTTCGACGTCAGCAGGAGTAAAACAAGGATGTTTACTGTCCCCATTGCTATTTGCCCTATACCTAGACGATTTACATGAGTTCATCGGCGGCGGTATCGAGATTGATGACCTAAATATAAGAATTTTGCTTTATGCAGATGATATAGTAATCCTGGCAAATGACGTGAAGGTACTACAAAAAATGATAGATAAATTAGAAGAGTATTGTAGTATATGGAATGTTACTGTCAACTTGGAAAAGTCAAAAATAATGGTATTCAGAAAAGGTGGAAAAATCTCGCAAAATGAAAAATGGCTCTACAAAAATGAACCAATTACAATTACTTCGGAATTTACCTATCTTGGGATGTTACTAACACCAAAGCTCTCTTTCAAAAACCACATTTTGGCAAGAAATAACTCATCCAAAAACTGTATAAACTCTACATGGAAATCCTTTTTGAATAAGCCCGATGTATCAATTACGTCAAAATGGAAACTGTTCTCTGCAGTTTGCAGATCAATCCAACAATATGGCGCGCAAATATGGGGATATACAAATTTTGAGGACGTAGACAAATTAGAAATTTACTTCTGGAAGAAAATATTAAAACTCCCAAATTTCACACCAACATACATATTAAGATTAGAAACCGACATGGAACATAGCCATATCCTCTCCTTGAAAACCCATTTGGATTATATCATTCGAGCCATATTTGATTACAATAGCGACCGATTACCTCACAAACTGGCGAAAATAGTTCTGCAAAAAGACATTTACTGGGCAAAGCATATTCGTGCACTCTTAATGCAAAACAATATCGAACCATTTAATTTAAATAGTTCCAAAAGCGAAGTTGTGGAAAAAAAAGATCACCTCCTAAAGACATTAGATTACAAATATTGGTGCGATGCCATAAATAGAGCCAATCAAACGACCCGAATTTACTCGAAGCTAGACCCATCAGTAGGTCAAACTTACATCAACTCGCTGTTAACGTCAGAGGAGAAAATGTGGATATTCAAAGCCAGAAGCGATATTATCAAACTTAATCTCAATAATATAGATGCAAATAGGAACCCACTCTGCTCCTTATGCAACTTGATGGAAGCTGAAAATCTTCAACATTTTCTTTGTAACTGCCCCATATTTAAAGAATTTAGAATTATGTTCTTCAAAAAGACACTGCTTAAGGAAGATGACCTTATAAATATTTTAAATGGATATATTGTAAATTGGAAATATGTCGCAAGTTTTATAAAAATTTGTACACAATATAGAAATCAGCTATTATCTGAATTTAACTTTTAAATCCCAATTTGTATTTTCAAACAATGTCTTAAAAAATAAAAATAATAATAAAAAAAAAAAAAAATTACAACATAAGCTACAGACAGACAGCCATAGGCTATTGTCTTATCGATAT